GGGATTGAGCCTGCAACCCGGGCATGTGCCCCTGACCGGAATCAAACCTGGGACCCTTCAGTCCGCAGGCCAATGCTCTATCCACTGAGCCAAACCGGCTAGGGCTCTCCCTTCCTTTTTGAAAATCAATAAAACTCTATTTAACACACACACACACACACACACACACACACACACACACACACACACAAGCCAGGAGGCCCTTCATGGGTCCAGTTGGCTAAGAGGTTGAGGGCCACCACTGGCCTCTAATTCCCCTCTGACATCATTCTCCAGCTGTGTGAGCTTGATCCGTTTACTTGACCTCTCTGTGCCTTGAATTTCTTATCTGTAAAATGGGAATGACAATAACGTTGAGTCTTAAATGAGGGCCTGGCACACATCAAGTGCCCAGTACATCCCAGGTGCATTATCGTTGGGTGGGGTGAGATGCCCAAAGGTATTCTGGAAGACAGCTGGGGAGGCAGAGGCGCTGGACTGAAGAGGGAGATAGGAGTGGGTGAGGTGGGGTCATCCCTAAAGATGGGTGGGTGAGGTGGGGTCATCCCTAAAGGCGGGGCAGTGCCAGGGCTACTCCTCACCCCTCTTCTGTCTGCAGTGAACGACGTACGCCAGGCTGCCCGCAGCGCCGCCAGCTACATGCTCTTCGACCCTGAGGACAGTGTCATGCAGCAGAACCTGGTGTATTACCGCTTCCACCGCGCTCGCTGGGGCCTGGAGGAGGAGGACTTCCAGCCCCGGGAGGTGGGCATTGCCTTCCGAGGCACTCTTGGGACCATGTGATTTGATAAAAAAAAATCTGGCTTCCTCAGAAGGCAGGATGGAAAGTGAAAAAATATGGGTTGTGGTTGGGGTCCTGGATTCAAACTCAGCCCCATCGGCTTTGGGAACACCGCTCACCCTTTCTCAATCTATTGCCTCACCTGCAAAATGGGGCTGGGACTACCTCCCTTACCAGCACCGCCGGCGAGGTGGGAGGTATAAAAATACCTGTTGGTTCCTGCCTGCTCCCTTCCCCACCCTCATCATCCTCACTGCTGGCCTTTGGCCTTCTTCCCCAGGGACCTCCCAACCTGGACCAACTGAGCAACTCCTTAGGAGTCTGGGGCAACCCTGGCACATATGGGGCACCTGGTGCTGGTGTCCATTTCCTTGTCAGTGGCAGACGCTGCGAATCAGTTGAGGCACTGTCTCCCACAGAACCCTCAGAACCCTTAACCCAGCACTCCAAGCAGCTGCACTTTTTTGATCAGCCTGTGAGCTGACACCTGTCCAGGCTCCTTGAGCTGGAAAAGGGCCAAAGGGCCCAAATCCTCCTCGGAGCTCTGGCTTCTCCTCATCTGGCAGCAGGGTCCAGCTCACCTCACTTTCCTCCCCTCCTCCCAGGAGGCCATGCTCTACCACAACCAGACGGCGGAGCTGCGGGAGCTGCTGGAGTTCTCGCACATGTACCTGCAGTCAGATGATGAGGTAAGTGGCTGCCCCCTGCCCCCCAGGGCTGGGTGATGGTGGAGACTCCTTGGCCACTTTGCCAAAGCTCAGCCCCCGCTCCCAGCAGCCAGCTGTTGTGAAGCAGGATTCTCCTGTCCCTTAAATACACCTGCCCTTCTCCCCCCACTCCATGTTCTCCTGCCCCCTTCTCTGTATGTCTCAGTCGTGCTTCTCCTGGGCCCAGCTCAGGTGGCGCCTCCTCCAGGAAGCCAGGCTGCATGCCCTGGCTCTGTCTTCCAGGCTTGCAATGCCGACTGACCCTCCCAGCCTCCCTGGACCTGGACTTATTTGCAGTCCTGGTCCAGCTCACCCCCAGCCCCCTCTTCAGCCAGTCTCCTAGAGGGCTGTGATCCAGGACGGGGGACCAGGTTACTCCCAGCTCCCCCAGGTTACTCTGCTCTCCGGGGAAAGCAGAGCTGGCGCCCAGAAACTGAGTTTGAATGAACCAGTGAACGAAGGAAGGAATGCAGGACACCAGGAAGGAAGGACCGCAGCGTGTTACGTTGATTCTGAATGCGGGTTTGAGGGTGAATGCTCTCAGGTGCCCCTGCTCGGGGCTTCTTTATCCACTCCCTCCTTTGTTCAAGCACCGTTCTCCCTCTTGGAACACGGGGGCCGGCTCCACACTCTTAGTAGCCAGGTTGGCGCTGGTCAGACTTGGTCCACCACTTCCCAAGTGGGCCCCCTCCAGGCAAGTCTTAGGGAACCCTGAAACTCTCATTTCCTCATCCATCGAGTGGGGAGGATAATGCCCACCTCACCCCGTGTGGTGAGCATGAAACGAGATCAAGTGTGTAAAGCGCTGAGTACGGAGCTGGCATGCATGTAGTCGGTGCTCAGCAGGTGGCAGCCGTTTTGATTGCTGCTATGTGTTGTGTGCTGTTGGCCAGATACCGGGTCTGGGCCTGGGCTACATTGATGAGAGGCACAGTCCCTTTCCCCAGCAATAGGGGGAGGCACAACACCCCTCTCCCTGCGGGAGCGGTCAGCAGGGGGCACCCGAGGACTCCTGACCCAGCCAGGGTCATCGCAAGGGCTGCATCTGGAGCTGATGCCTGGCCTTGGGGGGATGAACAAGGGCAGTGCAGGCAGAGGGGAGGAAAGGCGTTCCTGGCTGGGAATGGCATGAGCAGACGGTGTACACGGCCTACCAGCGCGCTCGGGGTGTTTATACTTAACACGTGGCTGCAGAGAGGGCGAAGCTCTGCTGGTGGAGCCCCATGCACCGGTTTAGGTGGGTGGCAGCTGGGGATAGGACGGTAGGAGAAACCCTCATGTCATTCCTGTGTGAGATCTTGAGACAGGGATGGGGGGGGAGGGCCCCTGGGCCAGGATTGGAACTGGCCCAGGTTTGTGCCTTCTGTCATCTGGTTTGTCCCCTGACCCTGGACCCTGGGGCTTCTCTAGATGGAGCTGGAGGAGACAGAACCGCCCTTGGAGCCCGAGGACCACCCATCCGATGCGGAGTTTGAGGGGGAGGGCGACTACGAGGAGGGCATCTATGCTGACTGGTGGCAGGAGCTGGACGCCAAGGGTGATGAGGCTGAGGCTGGTCAGTGACTTGAGCCATGATGGGGGGTGGGGATGCAGCCTGGGGTGGAGGTTGGGGACAGAGGGATCCAGGCACTGGGCTACAGAGGCGGGGGACTAATATGTGTGTTGGGTGCTGGGACCCCCTCCTCTGGGGGCTTCCTGTCTGTTGGCAACCTCTGTAGGGGGTGGTATCCTTCCTGGGATCAGGGGTCAGCCGAGACCTGTTCCTGGGGAGTCTCTCTCCTGCCTGCCCCACCTCCCTGTAGAATAGCACCCAGACACCTGTTGGGAGGGGCGGGGGCTCACCCCAGTGCTCTCTCCTTTTCTTTGCAGAGCCGGAGCCTGAGCTAGCATGAGAAGAGGGCCACCCCGGCACCTCACAAGAACTTAGGAAGCCTGGGCCCAATGGGACCACCCTCACCAGCCTGGGCAGCAGCAAGACTATTTATTAAAAATGTAAAATGGACATAGCTGGCCAGGCCCCATCCTGTCCCACCCCAGGGCGTTGCTCCAGGCCCCCTGCCGCCTCGCTGGTCTCGACCACAGGATGGCGGTGCTGCAGCTGCTCCTCCCCTGGAGGAGGAGATGCCAGCTTCTCCTAGTCGGGGCCTCAGCCTGAATTTCAGAGACAGCAGAGAGGCGGCTGGCGTCACGGAGAGCACTGGACCAGGAGTCCAGCGGTGCCTGGCACTGGCCATGGTGATCAATAAATGTTTCTTATTGAATGAATTACAAGGCCTGGCCCTAGCCGGTTTGGCTCAGTGGATAGAGCGTCGACCTGCTGAACAAAGGGTCCTGGGTTCGAGTCCGATCAGGGGCAGGTACCTTGCTTGCAGGCTCCGGCTCCTCCCCGGCCCAGGCCCTGGTCGGGCTCATGCAGGAGGCAACCAATCGATGTGTCTCTCTCACATTGATGTTTTTCTCTGTCTTTCCCTCTCCTTCTCTCCTTCTCTCCCCTCCCCCCCCAAAAAAAATCAATGGAAAAATATCCTCGGGGGAGGATTAACAACAACACGAAAAAGAATTACAAGACCTGGGGTCCATTCTCCCAAGGACTGAGTGGTGAGGGTGCAGGTCCTTCTCTCCCGGCCTCTGCACCCATCTCCCCTCATCATAAAATGCGGAGGGAGGCGGGTGGGGGAGCACAGTCTGGCCTCTGGACCCCTGGGGTTTGTGACCATGAAGAGCAGCTGCTGTCATTGTGATCCACCGCCAGGGGGGGGGAGGACGCAGTTCCCTGCCCCCAAGTCCTGGGAAGACGGGGGGTTTCAGATTTCTAAGATGGGATGTCCATTTATTTTCCCTAGGTCAGCATGGGTTCCCCTGGGGATATGTGGGGAGGGAAGGGAAGGGCCAAAGGACATTTTCTTCCGGTTTTCACTTTTCAGGCATTGACCCAGGCTCCTTGGAGTCAGGGTGAGCATGCCCTGCCCACTCTGCCCCTTCTCCATGAGCTGGGCCCATCTCAGCGGCCAGAGGGGCGCGGTTACGGTCTGCAATGTGAGACTGTGGTGGCAGTGGCGTCTTGCCCCATCTTGCATTGGCTCTGGGGGGCAGAGGATCCGGAGATGTGGGGGTGAGAGCCGTGTCTGGTGGCTATCACCCAGCCCTGTGACTCACCAGTGTCCCCTCCAGGTTTCACAACGGGAAAGTGGGGGCACGGGGGGGGGGGGGTCTCTGGGAAAGACCATGGGCCAGGGCCTGCCAGGTGACAGTTCTGCCCACTCCCCACGTTTCTGACCTCTGAGGGGTAGGGTGGTGGAGGAGCCTTCTCTCTCACTATGGGGTGGAGCAGAGGCTGGGAACCTAGTTCTCGCCTTCCACACCCCTACTCCCCAGATGTGCCAGGTGGCTGGGCCTGGGCCCGCCCATCTCTGTGCCCAGGAGAACCCCATATCCCACCCCAAACCCCTTTCCTGGGCCTTTATTGATGACGAGGGTGGGAAGGCCAGTCTGAGTCTGGAGCGCAGATAGGTGGGGTCAAGGGGCGAAGGTGACCTCACTCCTCCCATAGGTGAGTCTGCCCTGGTGGTAGCGGCAGGCAGCGTCTCCACAGAACTCCCAGGTGCCAGGGTGGCCCAGCCCAGCCCCACCCCTTCCAAGCTGCTTCCACCAGGGCCCTGCCCCCTGTGGCTGGGAGGGGCTGCCTCCGGGGCTGGCACTCCAGAGGGTGGGGAGCAGGGATGTGCCGGAGCCTGCCAGTGTGATTAGGAGCCTTGGAATCCGAAAGGGTGGGAGTGAGTCTGAAAGTGCTGGTGTGCGGGAGTGCGAAGGTCCGTGTGCTTGTGTGTAGTGTGGCTGTGCGAGGCGGGGTGTGAGCGGGTGCCTGTGTGCGTGTGTCAGAACGTCCATCCTGGGCAGTGTCGTGGGTGTCCACGTGCGTCCCTGTGCCTTTGTGAACATGACTCTAGGGATTCACTTGCTCACTCAGACATATTTGTTTATTTATTTTTAAATATATTTTTTATTGATTTCAGAGAGGAAAGGAGAGGTAGAGAGAGATAGAGACATCAATGATGACAGAGAACCACCGATTGGATGGGCTGCCTCCTGCACGCCCTCTACTGGGGATCGAGCCCGGGACCCAGGCATGTACCCTTGACCGGAATCAAACCCCGGGACCTTTGAGTCCACAGATCGACGCTCTATCCACTGAGCCAAACCGGCCAGGGCAGGACATATTTATTGAGCACCCACTGGTGCTGGGCATTCACTAGTGGGCACAGCAGGCCAAGCACCCTGCCTTGGTGGGTCTGCAACCAGCGGGGTGATAGGCAGGAAACACTACGTGTTATAAAAGCTTTAGATAAATAAGATGGAAAAGTGGGGCTGGGTAAGGGGAGGGAGAGAATGGAGCGGTTGCAGTTTAAGAAATGTGTTGATGTGTGTGTCCAAGTGTGCATCTGAGAGTGGCGTCTCTGAGTGTGTGGTGATGAGGCAGAGTGTATGTGTGTGCGTGTGTGTATGTGTGTGTGTGTGTGTGTGTGTGTGTGCGTGTGTGTGGAGGGTATCCACTGGGAGCAGAAGCCTGGCCCCTCTCTAGGCACCAGACAGGCTGCCAGCCCAGGCCTTCCCAGCCAGCGTGCCGTCTCAGCTCTCGTTCCCAGGCAGCGCCAGCCCCTCCTGTCTTTCCCTAATGCCGGCCTCTCCCCAGTGCCGGGCCAGCTCCCCAAACCGGTGAGACAGATTCCCAGCAAGTCCCAGCGTGGGCCTCTGGGCGCTCCAGCCCGTTCTCCCAGCCCCACCCAGCCAGACGCCCTGGCCTCCTCCAGGTCTGTCTCCTTCCCCCACACCCATCGCCACACCCAGCACCTTGCCAGTCACAGCACCTGTAGTAAAATGGGTAGAAGGTTAGCGACGGCCAATAGGGCACTGGGGCTGGAGACCTCACACAGTGGGGCCAGACTCAGATGCCACAGAGGTGTGCTGGACCCAGAAAGGCCCCATCCTGAGAACAGCATCACTATTACAAGGTATTGAATACCTACTATGTGCCAGGCACTTGGCAGGTTCTTTTTTTTTTTTTAATATACTTTATTGATTTTTTACAGAGAGGAAGAGAGAGGGATAGAGAGTTAGAAACATCAATGAGAGAGAAACATCGATCAGCTGCCTCCTGCACACCCCCTTCTGGGGATGTGCCTGCAACCGAGGTACATGCCCTTGACCGGACTCAAACCTGGGACCCTTCAGTCCACAGGCCGACGCTCTATCCACTGAGCCAAACTGGTCAGGGCGGCAGGTTCTTTATAACACACAGAATAGTCTTGTCATGTGGATACCAATTCCCCTCGGCCACAGGTGAGGCGGTGGGATGAGAAGCAGCCTGTCCAAGGCTCCCCAAGGATGGTGGTAGCTGAGCTGGGTTTGAACCTTTCTCCCCAAATCAGGGTCGGCTTTGTCTCTTTCCAGGTGGGGAACCTGTCTTCTGCCAAGGGCCATTTGCATATTTATAGCATCATTCCCGGGCCATACAAAATTATCAACCTAAAAATTAGCCTGCTATGTTTGGTCAAACATTTAATTAACTCACCCCTAATGCCTTGGCGGGGCCAGGCCAAATGATTCCGAGGGCCTTCTATTCCCCACCCCAGCTTCAGGCTGTCAGCTGGGGCCAGATAGAGGAAGGTGAGGGCCAGATGTGGAGACAAAAGGCCCACATTGCCACCGCTCACTTCAGGAGACAAGGAGTTCCAGAAGGCAGGGGGGTGATCATACTGTCAAGGGCCCTCTCTGGGTCCTGATCCCAGAGCCAGTCCTGCCCCTGCTGTCAGCTCCCGGAGATGGGGCCGGATGTTAAGGGGCGTGGGGACAGACTTGCTGGAGTCACTCAGACCAGCCTCTTCTTGGATCCTAAGTGATGGTCAAGTGAGGTGGGAGGAGTCCCATGGCCTTCCCCACATTCCAGTAAATTTCAATGGAAGAAATTCCCCCTTGGATTTGAGAAATAGTTCTTGAAGTCTTACCCTCTTGTTCCCCTTGGACCCTCTCCCAGGGTCCCCTGGGGACACACAATGACACGCTCCTGTGTCAGAAGGCTGTGTCTGCCTAACCTGACTGGGGGAGTCCTGGCAGCCGCAGGGCCAAGCCCCCCACCGCTTCCCCACTCTGGGCTCTTCATCCAGGCTTTCTCTTGCAACTTCTCTCCAAGGCTCTGGCAGATGCCCCTAATTTCATAGATGGGGGAACTGAGACCCAGAGAGGCTAGACTGGGCCCCGCCCCCCCGCAAGGCCAGGGCTCACTCTAAGCTAGGCCGGTGCCCTCCTGCCCAGCTCCTTTCCCAGGATCCAGCTCCAAGATGACTGGGGATTAGATGGGAGGGTGCTGGGGACTGGAAGCACCCACCCCAGCCAACCTCAGGCCAAACCCAAGGCCAACCTGTGGACACATCACCTCATAATTACCACCTGCCTGGGACCCACCTGGTGCCGGGGTGCCTGGATAGCATCTCTTTAGTCCCCCAAGCAGCCCTTGGTGTGGGAGCAGCTCTCATGCCCATGACTCAGGTGGGGAAACCGAGGTAAGGGGGCGGACATACTTGCTGGTTTACCACACACACCCTATGCACGTGCACGTACACACACACACATACTTGATCCTCGGAATCTGGGAAGGGACTCACTGAGGTCAGCCACTCGGAAAGAAGTCAAGAGAATTTGACATCTTCCATTTCGGGTCACCTTTTCCCTCTTTCTTTTTAGAAGAAGAGCAAAGCCAGAGGTGGCCAGTGGGGAGTCCTTCCTTTTCCCTGGACCACTTGGCTAATCCTCATGGCCTTCCTGGAGGAGGAGGCTGGGAAGGGTCCAGGTTCAGCCAGTCTAAGTGGGGAGTCTGGCCTCTCTCTCTGGCTGGGGTGGGTGTGCGGAGCCTCACAGCCATAGAGGACTTCCCGTTCATATTTTTTGTTATCTCCAAATGAGGTCATGCACCCAGTTACAAAGACACGGGGACAGGAATGAAGTTCAAAAATGCTTGTCATATGAGTTCAACCTTTAGCACAATTATTTTGATAACCCTGGCTGGTTTTCTGTTTGTTTGTTTGAAAACACATTGGTATTCTCAAAAATGGAAGTGCCCCTGGCCTCCCCCCAGCTCCCCTCACACACACTTTGGATGGAGCTGGCTTCTCTCCAGCACCCTCCTCACAGCTGGATCCGGCCTTCACCGCCCCCTCCCCCCCCTCCCCGCCCCTCCCCCTAACAGGACTTCCAGGTTCTCTGCTGGGGCCATA